AATACTGTGAATTTTACATTGTTGGGTGGTGGATATTTAGTAATACTATATTCTTAAGCTTTGTTCTGGGATGCAGTTCATTCCTTGCAAATAGTTCCTTTGGGTCTTGTTTTTAAGCTTTATGAGGCAGAACTAGAGCAGTGTTTAGTCTAGAGTTGGTTTTCTCCACTACTGAGGCAAAATCTTTCCGGGACTTCTCCCCATTGCCTTATGATTTCGGAGGTTTTCTAGCTCTGGCTGGCCTGTGAGCTCCAGGCATGGTTCCTTCAGTTCCTTCAGTTCTCTGTGGATGGTTAGAGGCAGTCTCCTCTGTCACAGACGGTGCCCTCACGTGCACAGGCTGACCGGTACTCACCTCGAGACTCAGGGGTCTTTGCAGACAGGGGTTATGTCCAGTGACTTCCCGAAGGCATCTCTCCTACGGAGACCCTCTCTTCCCTACCACGCAATGTGTTCACAGGGTACCTTTCCATCTGGCTGATCTTGTTTCCTCCGCCTTGGGGGCCCACCCAAACTCTCCCTGTTTAGATGTTCTGCCTACCACTGCTGAGAAATGCCTACTCCCGTCCATCTCTGGTTGGTCTTCTACTCTGTATGTATCCAGCATTCATGTGGGTGTTTATCACGTTTGCACCCTTTACAACTGCTTTCCAGCCCTAAGCAGGTTTGTTTTTTTTTTTAGACATATTTTCATGCCTCATGACAAAAAGTTGTGACTTGTGGAATGCAGGAAATTTCTTTTGGTACCAGGTTTGGTATCAAACAAGTGCCTTTCCTCAACATCTTCACTTTTCGGTCTTAAGGACAGATTTGCTCTGTATGGCTGGTAAGTCCTACAATTTGAACACTGTAGCAGTTCTCTTGCAAGTGCCTCCTACCACAAGGGTGGCGGGGGGGTGGTGGCGGTTCAAAATGTTTTCTAATGTAGAATCACATCCTGTTCCTTAAATAGAGACAATTGAGGCCAAACCTTATGGATGAGTGTAAAACTTGAATGGAGAACTTGAGCATATTCTTACCACACTGCATCAGTCACACAGGTGGTGGGGGGAAGAGTTCATACCAGGCTTTGGCATAATTCCATCGCACTCATTGCTGGAGATACTTGTTCAACCCACAGTGGAGCTACAATGTCTCCAGTCATCCCTTCTGTTTACTAGTGGTAGAAACTAAAATGACTCTGGGTCTGCTTTGCCCTTCTTGTGGCCCCACTTATTTGTCAAGGATTGGCTGTCTGGTTCCTCCACCTTTATCCAAGGAGGCCGATTTCCTAGAGCTGACTTTGCTCGGGGGCCTTAGGGAGCTGCTCGCAGCTTGTCCCAGAGGTGCAGGGCTGCATCGAATTTCATTATGTATACCAGCCTCTACCTTTTTTTTTTTTTTTAAGTAATGTTATTCAAGCTCCATTTTTAATAAGCCACAACCTGAAAAATAGCAGATGTGTCCAATGCTTCTGTTGTGTAGAGGGCATATTTCACTGAAGGCACCTGTGTCCCTTTAAGGCCACCTGTCTGCCAATTTTGGATAAAATGGACCAAAGAGCCAACTCAGGACCCAAGCGTTGGGGTTTGTGATATTTACAGAAAACATCAAGCACAAATAGAAGCTAAGACTGAGACACAAAGTCGTAAGCAGTGCTCTTTTACCACCTAATAAGCTCCTTAACTGCTGAGGGCAAGAGGAGCAGCTTGGCTACCTGGTTCCTAGTTAGGCTACTCCTGTTTAAAAGCTAATAGTAATTGAGCATCCTCTACACCTAGGACTCTAACCTACTGGGATAAGACACTGCTTGAGTGCAGAAGTCCCATCTAAGAACTATCCAGGTAGCCCCATGCCTCTCAGAATGTGTCTGTCAAACACCAAATGTGGAGGTTTACACAGCCAGTAGGCCTGGGTTTTCATGGACTCCATGCTAGTGCTATTTTAGGGGGAGGCATATGGAAGTGCATTGGTCACTGTAATTGCAGAGTTGGAAACAACAGAATGTCAACAGAGGAAAAGCTGAACAAATTATGGACAGCCATACAGTATTGCATTCATTTAAAAGGAGGAGCTACGTCTACAGGTACTGACCTAGAAAAATAGGACATGTTAAGTGAAACATCATGAGATGTACTATGTAAAAGAGAAATCAAAACGTGTTGTAAATCAGTAAGTAGAGTATGACCCAAAAACTGTGAGCATGTATGTGTGTGTGTATGTGTGGCTGACAGTCTAAACTAAGAAAAATGCCAGAGCACAAGCTAAATTATTAACAGGGGTTAGTTACTTTAGTAGGAGATTGGGGGAAGAAGGGTAGATTAGCCTGGGAAGGTTTTACTTTGTACAATTTTCTAAAGTAGGTAAGATTTTTAACTTTTTATGTTTTTCAGTATTTTTTATATAAGAAAACTCAAATTTCAACATTTTGGAAAAGTAGGTAAATGACACAAAACACTGAGTAATCTATGGAATCCTTGTCACTCATTGTCACAAACCCATTTATTACCCATGGGACTTTTGGGCACATCATTAATCTCTCTGAGGGCTGAATGTTCTTATCTCATAAATCAGTGAGAATTCCTATTTCTGACTACCTCCTATGATTGTTAAAAAAATTTAAATGTTTTAACAAGATCACATGTGAAAATACTTTGTAAACCAGAGAGCAATGCAGGAGTATCAGGCTTCAGTAGAAGTTATCTGTAAGCTAGAACAAGAAATCAATTATATCTAATTTCCCTTTTAATACTAGGGCTCCCAGTTTTTCCTATAAACGTATGTCTTCTCCCACAAAGGTTTTGGCAGTGCCCATGGACTGCCCTGGCTCCCGTTCAAATGCCTCAGCCGGCACAAGGGTAACCTGATCTGCCTGTGGAGCCTCAAGTCCTAAACTGGAGGTTCATTCCTTCCCATGTACCCGATGTTTTTCTTCCTACGCTTTCCTGTTTCAGAGGGCAGAAACTTCCCCATGATGGATGGAGTTGATCTTTCCCCTTTCATGCTGGGATCTACAATCAGGTATCAGTGGGTTTTTTATTACAAGTAGTTTCTGACCAACCAAAAAATACCCAGGTGGCTGGCTGCTAACAGAGCAAATGGCTCCACTCACTTCAACAACGGCGATCATGTGGCCCACGAACCAGGACTTGAACCACAGTGAACCTGAAACTGGGGAGAGTATCTGCTTAGTAGAGGTGGACCAGTAAGCCACTTGGAGCAGACATACCGATTCTAAAATCCATGCTTTTACCCTATGCATGGATCTGTTGTGTAAAATTATTAGGGAATAGATTCTTTCCACCATCCCCAAGAGCTTCCACTTTACCCTTTGCAGTCCCTTGCCTTCCATGAGCTCTAGCCAACCAAACTGCATCTTTTCTAGAATTTCGTATATGTGGAATCACAGGTAGTCTTGGGTCCAGTTTCTTTTGCTGAGCATGCTTTGGGATTCATTCATATTCTTCAGTAATTCATTCGTCCCCGCCTTTTTTTTCAGGGGTGGAGGGGGGAGAAGGAGAATCTTAAGCAGGCTCCACGCCCAGCAGGGAACCTGACACGGGTCTCGATCTCACGACCCTAAGATCATGACCTGAGCTAAAATCAAGAGTCAGACGCTTAACTGACAGCCACCCAGGCGCCCAGTAGGTCATTCCTTTTTATTGCTGAGAAATACTCGTCATACAGATGTACGAGAATTTATCCACTCAGCTGCTGATGAACATTTGGGTGGCAGCTACTATAAATTAACACTGTTTCTTCTGTTCCCACCAGCAGAGCACAGAGGTCCCACAGTTGTGGACTCACCAATACTTGGTATGAACCAGTCTCTCAAACTGTAGCCACTTAAATTTGTATTGTGGTTTCTATTTGCATGTCCCTGATGACTAATGACTTGAGCGTCTTTTCAAATGCTTATTTCGTGTATCTTCTTTGGGGAAATATCTTTAAGTATGCTGAATACAAACCTTTTGATATTTTTTTGTGAGCATATCTCACTTCATTTAAATGCTATTAGGATCTGCCTACAACAGAATTGGGAAGGAACAGGACAGTCTGAATGTTCACAGATCTTGCTAGGTTGGACCTTGCTGCCCTGATTCAAGGCAGTAACAGGGTGGGGTTTCTTCACAGCAGGTTCAGCGAAGCTCCATAAACATAATTCTCACTTTGTTAGCTATTTCTACTGGCACTTTAAGTTTTACATTTTTTGTTTCATGTCATCTTAACAGTAACTGAGAACTTATCTCAAACATTAGACCTAGCTTTTTTCACTATCGGTATCTATTGGAGGAGTCTACATCAAAGTAGAAAAGTAAATTAGGAGGCAAGACAAGGCAGACTGACAGAAACTTAGCTTCAGAGGAGATCCAATACTTCCCTATAAAATAAGATAGAACCTAGTTGCTCAATTAAATATTTAAAACCATGATTTTATAATATTGATTACAGTAAAATGTACGGCCTAGGGCAAAAATAACTTTTTCACTGTTTCCCAGTGTTCACGCTGCACTGCTATGAACATGTTTAATTTGGCTGGCAGGACACGACTGTGTTGCACGTAGTCTCAGGATATCATGGAGTGCAAACAAACACCTCCACACCTTCAAATATTTCAAATACTTGTGACAGATTTTTCTTCCACTTTAAAATGACTTCAGGGGCGCCTGGGTGGCTCAGTCGGTTAAGCAGCTGCCTTTGGCTCAGGTCATGACCCCAGGGTCCTAGGATCAAGTCCCACATCCGGCTCCTTGCTCAGCGGGGAGCCTGCTTCTCCCTCGCCCTCTGCCTGCTGATCCCTCTGCTTGGGCTCTGTCAAATAAAATCTTAAAAAAAAAAAAAAATGACTTCAAAGACTGTAACTCCTAGACCGTCACTGCTTCCTAATGGTCTCCTAAAAATACCGTTTCCCAATGCTGAATGCATGTCAAATGTGAGCACTAACTGGAAATCTTCCATTCTCTCGTACTTGTGTGCCCGGCCTCCGAATCCACTCTCCTGTTTCATCAGCCAGGCTCTGATCCTGCGCTCCTCTGGGCTTTTCCTAACCATGCAGCTTCACGGACACCATGTTCCACAAGCTGTCCTAATGCAGGGAGCAGGCAGCAATGACCCATGGAGCCAGCCATCACTTTCTACTTTATTAAACATTAAAGCACAAATGGATGGTCCCTGTGGAGATGGCTACAGGATGACAGGGAAGGAGAAGGGGACACTCAGGGAGAGAGTCACACAGCAGAGACCCATCTTCACAAAAAGGGCTCGATATTGATTTCCAGGGAGGAGCAGGGCATAGTCAGCTCAAATTTGGTGATGACATCAGGATGAAGGACCCCAAGCTTCCCGATGCTCTGACCCTTGGCAAAGATCTCTGCGCATCTCCCAGGGAAGAAAGCAGGGCCTGAAAAAGAGGAGAGAAATAAACGTTTCTCCTGGCAAAAGTGTCAACAGACATTTAACACCTACGACTCACTAGGATGCTGGAAAACTAATGTCTTTAAACCATTGGCTAGGAAATGAGAGTGCTGTCCTCATACTTTCTTATCTTAAAACAAAATATTCGATATTACAGCAAGGAACTCTTACAAGGAAAAGGTTAAGTACAAATATGAAAATCAGGGCCCGGCATGGGTTTTTGTTTTTGTGGGTTTTTTCCCGTTTGTTCGTTTTAATCCCAGGGCTTCAGGCAGGCGGGATCAAGAAAAGGAGGCTGGAGGGGCACAGCTGGAGGGGCACAGCTGGAGGGATCCTCGGGGAATCCTCGGTGAGCTCCACAGGGAGGAAGGACAAAGGGGAGAGATGAAACGTAAAACTGATGACGCTGCAAGAGAAGAACCTGTTTGAAACAGGTTTTTCCATAGTCCTACCTGCTGGATGAAAAGTCCACCCATGAATTCATTTACTATTCAAAACTCACTTCTCTACCTTATTACACAGAGAAACAGAAGCTGCACGGTCACCGGCAGGCTCAGGCCTTGCTACCAGAACGCAACCCGCATTCCTGTTGGAGAAAGAACTTTCTCAGCAGTTTTAGAGCATCTTCTGTAAAAGACCAGCACAAACCAGCCTGGGATGACCCCTGAGTTACTTCAAGACAGGCAGAAAGTGCTCTCTTCATTTGGGTATCAATACACAGAACTAGGGCTCACCAAACCAGGAACTGTTGTGGAGGATCAAACAGCTAAAAACAAGCAAACCACCAGGCCCACTCCATATTCACTATGACGAGAGCCACAAGAGTTCATCAGTGCTCATTCCCCACTCAAGTTTAAAAAAAAAAGCTGACTCATTTCACTTGCCACCAACTTGAAAAGGGATCAGGCCCACAGCTCCTGCCTGATTCAACCGAAACGGTTACTGGCATGAACTATAAATACCCAGCAGAGCTGGGCCACAAGCTTGCAGCCTGCCATTTCAGAGTGCATTATTTATGAAAGAATAAACTGCTGAGGCTACTAGTGGCTCCAACGTCAGCATGATGAAGAAATACGGCACTGGGGGGGAGGGGCAGCATGCTGTTAACAAGTCAGTACCAGCTACACCATAAAGACACAGGACGATTCCATGTACTTCCCAGTCAGTCCGGGAGGATGTGTGTTTATATTCCTGAAAAACATTTTTAATTGTCATTCTTAACCCCCAAAGCATCCTGGGCTGGACTAGAAGGTGGCTTGTTCCTCACATCCCCCCAAACTAAACTGTCTTATTAAAGCAAGACTTTCACTGAACTGCATTTGAAGTATTTGGCTATGCATATTAATCCACACTTGGGGACAGGGGCAGAGAAAAGACTCAAAAAACACAGAAACCAAACTGGATTGATAATGCAGACAGAGCCTTAGTGAGATATGAATAGCACTAAATCTAGTAAAGATGGTGTATTTTAACACTATCAAAACAAAAACCCAATTTACAAAACTATCCCCCTCCCTCCACTGCCCAAATCTTCAAATGACAAAAAGTGAAGCTTGTACAAAGTGCTGATACTAAGCAGTGTAACCAAGAATCAGGGAACCTTCATTCCACCATGTGTCACCCCTTTTTACAGAATTATTTATAGCTGGACACCCTATGCTAACTGAAAAAAACAAAACAAAACAAAACAAAAACAAAAAAACCACCAGCCTATTTTTAAAGGCCATCCAGAAAGGAAGCTTATAGACCTTCACTGGTAACTTTGCCATGTTTAAGAATCCTGTGTATCAAAATCCTTCCTTTTTATCTACAAATTCCAATTTGATTGGATTCGTTTTAACTGAAGCATAAAACCAGACTATTTTAGAATCTAAGCCAGATGCGCTAGTTCTAACAATGTTAGCAAAATAAAGCTCAGGAGATAAGAACTTAGAATTTCTACTTTGTAAAACAACTTTTTGAATCAGCACTTTTTAGCAAAATTCAGTTACATTCTTCTTCAGTGAGCAAGCATGATAATGCCATCCTGTCCTTTTCTCCAGAAGTCTGGACCATACTTGGCTTTAGCTCATTAACCGGTCAGGTACTCAAACAAAAACGTTCCTATCGCTAAATACAATTTTGCCTCTTTCCAAAGAAAAGCAAAGAAAACAAATTCACATATGTTATTTAAAACATAACTATGAGAGTATTCTAACGAATGTAAGTATCAAAAGCTCTCAGCCCAGCACACAGATCCATCTGAGGCACTTACCACACCCTATATCACCCCCGGGGCCACAGGGCCTTCGCTGCCCGAGGAGGAGCTGCTTCCGAAGGGAGCGGGCACCAAAGGGGTCCTCTGGCCTCTCATCCACAGTGCTAACCCTCTCCTCCCCACCCACATGTAACAATGACGTTCACGAATGGATTTCCGTATAAACCTTGCTGAAAACCGCACACGTTAGCCTGTGACGACCATGATCAATTTCTTGCCATTTTTCATTTCTCACAAGGTCAGATTATGATTGGAAGCACTTAGGATTTGCTTCCTCTTCTGTTCAGTGAGAGCAAGGCTACAAGTTTGTTCTTCACATACACAAGTTGAGAGGCACACAAAAGGGACTTCCATGGGTACAGAGAGAACCTAAAGAATGGACCTCTTGACTGATGGGTATGGGCCAGAAATCCTGAAAGAAAATATAAAGACTGTGTGGTTGTAAGCAAACTTTGCAGCAGAAAGGAACCGCTCCAAAGAAGGCAGCCAAGAGAGCATTGCTTCACCACCAAAACAAAGGGCACGCACCCAGCTAAGGCAGCAATTCCGCCGGAGTTCAAAGATAAGGGCATCTCCCATCAGCAGCAGGGTGGTTGAGCTCAGTAACTCAGGCGGATGAATGGATCCTAACACTCTAGCTGGGACTGGATGCAACTTAAACCAGTCATTCCAGAAGAAGTCACAGCCAAACAGAGCCGCAATCTGGGTCTGGGCTTGTGAAAAACCAGAACGGATGGCAGTCAGAGGCCACTCTAACCTCCTCAACAAAAACCAAACAGGTGCCTCTGGAGAAAGAGCAGCCTGCTGGGCTTAGAGACAAAGTTGCCAATTCAAGGAAAATCCTATTGCCTTATTAATAATGGGAATTCTAAAATTCAAATTCTAAAAAATACAGCCACCTACTCTTCAGATGTCTAAGCCCAGAGTTCCTGGTTTGCTGTAAACACTCCAATTTTCAACCTGTGCCCCAGATGCTCCCTGGCACAAAGCCCCTCAGCCCCCTTTTTCACCTGGTTCCTGACACGGATTAAGCGCCCCGCTTTGCTGGTATCCATCACAGCGAAACGGCCTCCAACATAAAACAGACCCGGGGGGAAAGTAGTGCTCTCTTGCTGAAATCCATGTGGAAGCCCAGACAAAAGAAACATCAGTTAAGCACAAGCAAGAATTTAATTTCCAAAACCTAGTGGGGTGTAAGTAAGTCCCTTAATTAAAGCTTTTGTAGCATCTCCTCCAGGTCTGTAATTGTCTCTGTGCTCAAGCGGCAGGACCACTTTGAGGACCTTGGGGGTAATTCTCGGCCAGTAACGCAGCACAGCACCCAGTCTTTAGCACATTTTCTGGCTAATTGACCTTCAAAGAGTTTGTGAGCTCCCGCTCTTGCTCGTTGCCAAACACCTTTCACAGTTTCTTTTTGCCCCCGTCTTTCTTTTAGAGTCATATTATAGGCCCAAAATTTGGATAAGCTTTCCACATCGAGTCATTCCTATAATTTTACAAAGCATCGGAAGTAGAGGTTTAAGGCGGTAACTGAGCAGGACCCTAATCGGAACGCAGGACAGTGTTATCAAGCATGAGGCCCTTAATGCCTTAATCTTCAACCCCCTGCAACTGGATATATTCAACTAATTCATCTGGTGCTTATGTTCACCATCTCTAATAACCATTTACTCATAATTTTATTTTTCCCTCTCTTCACATCACTAAGACATGCTGTAGGGTTCAAATCTACATACTGTTTGTTAACTGCCTGCAATCTGGTACTTCATCACCCCAATTTTCTCCAATAAAAAGAACAAAATAAAAAGGGGCAAGGAACTCTGGGAAAGGCCTGAGTGTATATCTCATGTGTCATAGCAAATAACAGAACCCATCGCTGTCAGCTTAAACACAGATAACCCATACACACTCTCCTAAATTCAGGGACAAAATACAAACTGCATAATCATATATACAGTAGACCACTGGGCCAACTGAGCGTGCTTTAAATCTGTTCTAAATGGCCGATTATGTAATATGGCTAAGAGAACAGGAATAATCATTTAACAGGCTGATCCTAGGGCTGGCACTACCAAACCCTACCCCTTCCTCTCCTAAGTCCCTAATTCCAAATACCATTAGATATATATAAAATAATCCATTCCATGTTGCAACAGTCCATCCTAGGAAAAACACAAAGGACAAAAAAGTCCCCAGCATCCCATTCTGAAGCGAAGCGGGCAGAGGGGGTTGCAGGGCAGAGTGGAAGGGCTGAAACCCTGTTTCCCTACGCAGGACTCGTCTCCTGCTTTCCCACCAGCTCTCCGGTCACAGAGTAACCATGCTGCCAGCACCTCAACCTCCCTTTCCTTTTCTGAGTAGTGTCAGTTTAAAGGAAGAGGAAGGACAAAATAAAGGGCCTCTTTTCAAAAACTGGGCACACACTTAAACCGAACATGGGAGCATGGTAGTTGTTCTCCAAGTTTTCAAGGCAGGAGTTTTTGAGCGTACCAGCAGTTATACAAAGTGAAGAGAACCGAAGGGGCAGGGGGGAGGCATGATGTAGGCAACACATTTAGAAAAAAGGAAGAAAAAGGTATAAGAATAGAAGGGAAAATAATCAGTGTAACTCTGAGATAGACACCCACACATTTTCTTCCGATCTCGGTCCACTACAGGCTGGGAGAAAATATCTCTACAAAGATCACTTAATTTGTAAGAAGAGACTGAATAATTTCCAACTGGTAATA